ACTAATTGTCTATGTGTCATTTAGGTCTTCGCTATCGAAAAAGTGAATATCTATGTGGTCGCTGTCGAGGAAATGAATGTCTATGTGTTTGTCGTCGAAGAACTAAGTGTTTAGGTATCATCTAGGTCTTTGCCGTCGAAGAAGTTGTTTTGTAGTTCAGCGGGGAATAATTAAATTTCACACACTGTCTTTTCGCGTAAACGTTTATTGAAGTATTTATTCGAGTTCGAAAGTTCTCGCAAGCGATCGTTGTCGCGTCGCGCTCTCACTGCACGGACGGCGCGCCGAGATATTATTTTTAATCGGCCTGTTGACCGTGTCGATCGCGGTATGTAGTAACGCGTCGCAAAGATTGTTTTAAGCCGGTCTGTAGACCGATCGATCGCGGATCGCAGCAACGCCTGGGGGCTGTGCCCTGAGCTGGACCGCGAGATTTGAGACAACGCCTGGGGGCTGTAGCCCTGAGTCTCTTGTCACGGATCCGCGACAACGCCTTGGGGCTGTAGCCCTGAGTCGCGGATGGCTCGACCACGCACTATACACAACTCGAACTCGGCTCGAAAGAGATATTTCCTTATGGCAAACTTCGTCAACTGATCGCTTCCGTGGCTATTGATCGAATGGTAAAAATCGCCTTTTATTCACTCGCGATCGTTGTTCGCCTCACCACCAGGGTTGATTCCTATTGGCGCGGCAACTACACAGGATTTCCTGTTTTTAAAACCGCTATCCTTTAGAGCGCCGCCGCTGTCGCCAAATGTTTGATTTATGTCGCGTGGAAATCTCAAAGATACCGCATGGAAATCTCAATCGATGCCGCGCACACGTGTGCAAGGGTGGCCGAGCTGTCCGTGTTTTCACGTTGAACGTGTGTTAATCGCATGTGTGTATCACATGTATTTTTGTATGACGCATGTCGTGCACGACCCTCGGTCTCGTCGTTACAGAAGTGAATGTCTACGTGGTCGACGTCGAGGAATTTTGTGTCTATGTATCATCTAGGTCTTCGCCATCGAAAAAGTGAATATCTACGTGATCGCCGTCGAGTGAGTGAGGATTTACGTGTTTGCCGTCGAGGAACTAAGAGTCTAGGTGCTGTCTAGGTCTTCGTCGTCAATTAAGTGCATGTCTATGTGGTTGCCATCGAGGAATTAAATGTCTACGTGTCATCTAAGTCTTCGTCATCAAAGAAATGAATGTCTACGTGGTCGTCGTCGAAGAAATGAATATCTACGTGTTCACTGTCGAGGAACTAAGTGTCTAGGTGTTGTCTAGATCTTTATCGTCAAAAAAGTGAATGTCTATGTATTCGTCGTCGAGGAAGTGAATGTCTACGTAGTCGCCGTCGAGAAATTAACTATCTAGGTGTCGTCTCGCTTTTCTCGCGACTTTCTTGTCTCTTTTACAATTTTCTCATGGCTTTTTTGCCTTTCTCACAGCTTTCTCGTCTGTTTCTTTGCTCTCTCGTTTTTCTAA